ATGATGATGATGATGACGATGATGATGATGATGATGATGATGATGATGATGATGATGATTATGTGAAAAGTTAAACCTCAGGAAGAACACTAAATTGGACAAAAAAAATTCAATTAGGTAGAAGGATCCTGACATGCTCCTTCCCGCTTTGATTTCAGAAAACCTATCTAAATCCATGATCTTTCAACAAGATAGACTTTCACCAGACTGTAGACATTGGTTGGTGAAAACAAGTCCACAAGCTGCCCAACTGCGCGACCGGTTGAAAATACCCATGTGTTGAAGTGACGAGTTTCTGAGACTGCTCAAATGTTTCACACAGTACATTAACCTATGATTATGTTCCTTCACGAATGACGGAATTAGGAGCTCCAAATGCTGGAAGGATGTACTTCATATGTATTGATCTGGGTGGCTGGTTTGGACTAGGTCTGATGGTAACTTGCCCCTCATGTCATCATGAAGTCAGTTGCCGACAAATCAGACATTTTTGCGCCATAAAATGGGTGAAAACGAAAAAAAGTTGGCGTTACCGGAAGACTCAACTGAACCCCCCGTTTACGATAGTCTTCAAGTGTATACATACTTCACAAGGCCCACCTCATGTTTCAGTTGGTACGATAATCGAACTGTGATGTCTTCATACAAAGCCTGTCGAACATTCCGACAGTCTATCCTTCTTAAAGCTCATCAGATGGACGTTTTTATGTCGAGAAGGTATACTTCAACATCCCGTCTATCGTGCAAACCGAAACATTAGGCAACCTTTGTGGAACGCACTCAGTTGAAGAATATCACAAACGAACGATTCAGCTGTGCCTCATCTTAATTTGCAAATGAGTGTATTTCGCCACTGGCGTAGAATTTGCGTCCAACACAAGACGGTCGGAAACTCTGGGACTACGCATACCTGGTGAGTCCCAGGAACTGCGAAACCAGTAATGGGATGTTGAATAGTGTCCAGAAACCTTATGAGTAGGTGCAGTGTTACGTCAAGAAAATGCACTTCAATATATCGATTATTGGGTCCACGGATACATGGGGTGGGTTTTGCGCAACACATTCAATTGTAACGTCTTAGGTGAGAGACTCGAACAAATTTAGTATG